TTCAGACCATTTGTGAAATCAATCTTCTACCACTACCAGAACAGGGTACATCCGTAGAGTCTCATTAATACAAAAAAAAACAATACATGCCCAACTCTGTCGATTGTTAATCTTGCACTGAGAGTTTGCCTTTGTCTCTTGATCTAGTACTACTTCAAAAACTTTAAAGCTCTTCTATCTCAAAGGGAATTTGTTCTTTACCTTGGCAGTTGAGAATAATGGATTAAGGTTGTGACGTAAAATTTCCCATTTTGCTCCGTCACATCATCACATCATCAACAGCCTATACTAGTCCACTGCTGGACATAGGCCTCTCCTTAGAAAGGAGGTTTTGGCCTTGCTCCGTAAGAGAAGAAAATATTTATAGTAATAATTCTTTATCACTACATTTTAAAAACTCTCATCCGCTGCAAAAGCTGAGAATTGCTGTTTTGAATCGTCACAATTTTAATGATATTCGGATCCTGAACAAGTAGGATGGGTTCAGTGCCATAGAATGCACCAAATTAGGGTTTTGCAACTGGGCAATTTTTCACAAAGGTTTTGAGTAAGTAAGAACATTCTTCTTTGATAAAATGCATTCATAAAAGTTTAATCAAATTAGAATTGGTTGAAGATAAGGAACATTATTTTCATCAGAGTATTTTATTAGTGTGTTATTTATACAACACATCGAAACAGTGACGAGGCAAATAATCATGAATTTGATACGAGTATAATATAAACTGCGCATATGTCGAAGATACAAGAATACAATTATTATAATCTAAAATACCGATATTACAGTGGTGATCATATCTTTATAAAACTTAAGGAATTTACCGTTAATTGATTACTTCTTATTGCGATTTACTTTTGGACGACTCTCTATTAATTTTGTCGCGTTCATTGTGTTAACATCGTCACTTCTAATTTTTGTTTTATTTTTTATTATTTGTGTATACTTATGTATGATAATAATTTACGGTAGTAATTTATGAGTAGTCCCTTACCTCCTCCAAAGTCGCGTAACGGTGACAGAAACCCTGTAAGCCTTTGGAAACATATCCATATTCAGCGGCGGATGCCACATGGTTGTGGACAATGATGATGGTGATCATCACCATTATGGTGATAATGTGGCGACTTCCATATACAAAGAAACAATAACATTGTTGAATCACGCATTCAACACGCGGTTAAGGACATCGTTAACGAGAGAGCATAGACCGGCGCGTGCGCCGGCGTCACCACCCGCCCGTCAGCTGATCGACGATAGTACAAATACATATACCTACTTGCGCTCTTTATTTATACACCTTTTTTATATTCTTTTCCCAGCAACGACGATCAAGTATTTAATCAGTAATTTTAAAAATTACTTACACAGTCCACTCTAGTTTTATCCCGCCTAACACCAAAGGAACTATTCTATTCTATCTATCCTATCTATCCTTAAGGCCCACCGAACTACGGAGTAACCGTTAATACTGTATCGCGATGTGGATCGCGGCCCACCAGGGATGAACAACTCATCTGGTCGGAGGATCCTCCTTTTGTGTTGAAGGGAAATAAAGCCGTCCCTTCACATCATCATCATCATCAACAGCCTTTAATAGTCTACTGCTTGACATAGGCCTCTCAGAGAGTGGGGACCTCTGGTGGCAGATTGATTGCTGCGGTAGGGAATGGCATGGCCGGCCTGATTGCATTAAGTGCGTCTCCAAGAAAGGGGGGGGGGGGGGCTTTCTTGGAGACTAAGGGCCCTCTTCTTCTTATTCTTACGCGGTCACTCAAAAACTGGCAACGCACATGTGACTTAAGTTCTACATAAACCGTGTGTTTTACTTTGTTTTTTTTTTAAATCTTTATTGTCCTTGTCTTGTTGTTGTTGTATAAATTGATATAAATAAAAAATAACAGTATATTTTGTTGTTATTCTCTGTGTGTCCAAGCGTATAAAGCTGTTCGAAAATATGAGAAACCAGTTATAGCTTTGTTAGTTAAAAATTCGTTTTAAGAGCGATTTTGCTAATTTGCGTTGCTTTGTTCTCCTTTAGGAACACTATTTTTGACAATTACCAAATTAAGGTTCAATAATGAACCTATATAAAAATTTCATACCACTCAGCCTTTATAGATTAAAAAAGTAATTCCTTATTTTTATAATGATTCGGTCTAGCTTTAATTACGGAACATATATGTTATAAATTATGTAAGAATAATTTTAATGGATCGGGATTTCCCTCATGTAGGTTGCCCCGATCGGTAGGTGTTCTACGATGAGCGGCGAGTATCGTCTCTTGGTGCCATTGTAGTAAATAAGGTAAATCTAATAGGTCTTTACCTATGAAATTGCCGTTTTGCATGCAATAAGTGAAAGTACTTATTTTTTCAAACTTTTTTATTTCTGTTATTCGAAGTAATCACCCATGCAATCGACGCATCTTTGCCAACGCATTGGCAGTTTATTGATGCCCTTCTTATAAAAATCAGCTGGACGGAGGCAACAAACTCTTCCTAGGCATTTTGTACTGCCTCTCGGGCATTAAATTTTTTACCCACTAAAAAGTTGTCTAAATTTTGGAAAAAGTAATAGTCGGTAGGTGCAAGGTCTGGTGGTCACATCTGCAACCAGCTTTAGTCAATCGGTCGTCCCCACTGCTCCTTCACGACAACGCGCGACCCCATACTGCGCAACAGACAGTCTCCAAGCTGCAAGAGCTGGGGTTGGAAGCTCTCCCTCATCCGCCATACTCACCAGACCTTGCACCTACCGACTATTACTTTTTCCAAAATTTAGACAACTTTTTAGTGGGTAAAAAATTCAATTCCCGAGAAGCAGTACAAAATGCCTTTGAAGAGTTTGTTGCCTCCCGTCCGTTGCATATAAAATATATCATCACATCACATCAACAGCCTTTAATAGTCCACTGCTGGACATAGGCCTCTCCTTAGAAAGAAGGTTATTTTATATAAAATATATAAAATACATAAATATTGGAAGACATTGCAAGTACATAAATTTATTTTAAAATAATATGCTAAGATGTTATGGCAACAATTCGTCGGTTTCATCAAAATATTAATGTATTTATTGTTCACAAGTAAAAGTTTATAAACATAATTTCATAGTTCTTATATTTCAAATAATCACAAATCATGCACTGCATAATTACAACATATTTTCTTCTCGTTGATAGCATTTTATAGGGAAAACAGTTATACAAGAGCTGTTGACATTCACATTTTGCAGCCCAGTGTCGCGGTCAGTAGTGTGCTGTGTTTCAAGCTGTCAAACATGTTTGTGTTATCACCTGTCGTCATTCTGATAAGTGTTCTTTGTTTCGTTTTATATATTATTTATCAACGATGGTATCAATACTGGAGTAAAAGGAACGTTCCTTTTGAACAACCCGTACCTATATTAGGAAACTTTGCTGAATTTATTTTACTACAAAAAAATCTCGGTACGATCATTCAAAAATTATGTCGAAAATTTCCTAACGCACCTTATTTTGGGGCGTTTTACGGCACAGAGCCCACACTGGTCGTACAAGACCCTGATATCATTAAAGTTGTTTTGACGAAAGACTTTTACTACTTTAGTGGACGAGAAATCTCAAAATACATCCATAAAGAGCTTCTTGTACAGAACTTATTCTTCAATTACGGTGACCAATGGAAAGTTATGCGTCAGAATCTCACACCGTTATTCTCATCAGCGAAGATGAAGAACATGTTCCATTTGATAGAGAAGTGTTCTCGAGTTTTAGAGAGTGTACTTGACCAAGAAACGATGGACTCCCAAGTAATTGAAGTGAGGGCTCTTATGGCAAGGTTTACAATGGATTGTGTCGGTTCGTGTGCGTTTGGCGTTGATGTCAATACGCAGGAGCAAAAAGAAGGGAACCCTTTCAATGAAATTGGAGAATCTATTTTTGATATCGGTATCGTGCGTAGTCTAAAAAATATAATTCGATCTATCTGGCCATCAATATTCTATGGCTTAGGGTTCAAACTTTTTCCAAAGAAACTTGAAACATTCTTTTATAAACTTTTGACTGAAATTTTCGAAGCAAGACAGTATAAACCATCTTCCAGGAATGACTTTGTGGATTTGGTGCTAAAGTTGTGGCAAAAAAAAGAAATATCTGGCGACAGTTTGGAAAATATGATATCTGGAGAGAAAAAAAAAGTTAATTTAGAAATAAATGAGGGTATATTGGCATCACAGTGTTTTTCATTGTTTGCTGCAGGATACGAGACCTCAGCTACTACATTAGGTTTCACCTTGTACGAACTGGCAAAGAACCCAGAAGCACAAGAAAAAGTGCTACAGGAGGTTGACTCATATCTACACCGCCATAATAATGTGCTAAAATATGAAAGCGTTGCGGAGATGCCCTATCTTGAAGCATGTGTTGATGAAGCTCTCCGGCTGTATCCTGTTCTGTTAGTCTTAACACGTGAAGTAGTAAAAGATTATGTTTTTGAAGACGGACTGCAGCTTGAGAAGGGAATGCGTGTTCACATACCAATTTATCACTTGCATTATAATCCTGACTATTTCCCCGAGCCTGAAAAGTATCGACCGGAAAGATTTTTTGGTGACGAAAAATGCAAAATCCAACCATATACATACTTGCCTTTCGGTGAAGGTCCAAGAATCTGCATTGGTAAGTGTTAAAAAGTTATAGCTAACATTGCAGAACTTTTTTAATAATACTAGTAATTAAGTCTCGTCAACTTATAGTTGAGTCTTAACAGTAACAATTAATAATATTTATTTTGTAAAACTAGCATATCGTATAACTAGCGTGTTGCCGATCAAATAATATCTTCCGATGTCCATTTGGTATGTTCATGGCTTTTAGCAAAATACTCTGAGTGTACACACTTGTGATCAAGCTTTTGGAAGCTTTCAATCTTCAAGAAAAAAGCGTACTCCTTCCTCAAATGTCAATTTCAGCGGTAAATTTTAATACGTTTTTTTAGGAATGAGATTCTCAAGAATGCAAATGGTAGCCGGTCTGATTACAATACTAAAGAAGTACCGTCTAGAGCTGGCTGAGGGCATGAAGAGTAAGGTGTTGCTGAGGATCACTACAAGGGTCGGACAGCCGTATGGAGGGATAAGACTCAAGTTCATTAAAAGAGAAGGGTGGGAACAACGAATACTGCAAGCTCCTTCTTCAGTATCTGGCAATCCGCCCACTGTTTAATGACCCTGATAGCTGTCATACAGGGCCAGAAGTAATTGGTTTGATGCCCACCCTAGACAAAAAATTGTGGAAAGGGGCACGATTATTTGTTCTGTGTATGGGTGTAATTTATGTATAATATGTGTGTATTTAGTGGTCACTGTTTGTAATTGATTATTTTTGTAATGTCCAAGTTGTACTCTCCTATAATGGAGGGAGCACAAGACATAAAATTTATTTGCTGTTAAACTAACATGTAAGGTGTATTTCTTGTTGGAGATCCAAATAAATTAGAACATAAATATTTTTTTTGGTAAAAAATAAAACAAAACAAGCTTTAAAGACTCTCGATATCATGCAACACCAAAGTACTCACCAAGACAAAACAAATGAGCCCAAACTCGATGGGCTTAACGTGTTTAGTTAAGAAATTCCCATGACCGTCTTCCGGTTCCATCATCAGAACAACTCTAAGGTACCTTATTTGCGTGTGGTCTGTAAGGTATGTCAAGTTATTATTATATTATTCATTAATATACATTTAATAAATAAATAATATATTAATAAAAAAACTAGTATACCACTGACATCGATGATCCAGCTAACTTATAACTTAAGTCTCTAATTCTCTTAAGAGAGACCTTAAAGGGATCTCTTAAGAAAACTAGTCTAGGCTCTGCGCTATCAATCCAGGAGCAAAAATAACCTATATGAATAATGATCACCGAATAAACATTTAACAATTCCACGATATCGAGAGACAAATTCAATATTTCATTTGTTTTTCCTCTTTAACTTTAACAAGATTCTCGTCATGACGAACTGCGATATCGACAAAGACAAAGACATTTTTATTGGTTAAAACATGAGTATACATACGCAGGCATGCAAGATGTGTAATAAATTAGATTATAAGGACATTCATGTTTAGCCATTGTGGCGTACAAATATATTGTAAGCATTAAGTACAAACATCCCTAAATTTTATAATTCTTTTACATTTATGCAATGCAGAATGAATTGATTATTATCATTATATTCATATTATTCATGACATTAATATAATACTTTATTTTATTAATATTATTCATTATACAATTATTAAATATTATTATTTTACTTTACATTATTATTTACTTCAATACTTTTCAGCACAATCATTGCTGGACGCTTTAATCGACCTATCCCCACAATACCAGGCTTATAAGCAGGAATATTTCTATTTTTGATGATAAATCGATCCCAATACAATAAGGCTTGATCATTCTCGAGAACTGGGTAGAGCACATACCTGTAGTACGGTTCCTATCAATTCACAAAATTGTATTCAACGACAGATTGGCTTCTTGATGCAAGTTTTCGCCGTTAGCAAGACCAGTATAACCAGAAGTAATACGTCTGATGCATTCATCAGGACATTAAACAGTTTGAATTGATTTAATCCTATAATTTTATAAAAAAACAGCTTAAGAGCCAGCGCAGACCAAGAGGAGCGCACCGAAGAGGAATGTGCATACATGTTTGAACATGATAAAACATGTTCACACGGCCTCGGGCCATGTCTATGTACTGTATATCAATAGCTTTAAAGTTTATTTTCGAGTGTTTTAAAAAAATCCTCTCCACGGCACGCCTCTCGGTCTGCGCTGGCGTTAAGCCTTAAATTTGGCTGAACCCAGAACTAAAGTCGAAAATAGGGAGGGAGATGACAACGGTAATGAGTATGTATCTATAATTAAAACAAAGAACAAAACCTTTTTTCGAAAAAACATTCTTTAACAAGAGAATAAAACAAAGACATACAAATACACTTCTATTACTTTTATGCGCCTTTTCCCTATTGTTTACCAGCAGCTGCAGATAATAGAGAGGAAAAAACCAGAAGATTTGCATAAATACTTTTATATTCCAAGATGACATCACCGCTGTAATTAATGAGGAAAGTAAACACGAGTAAAATAACAAAACCGTTAGGTATTTATACGTATATTAATACTAGAGGAAAATCTTTAGATATGCAGGAGTGTCGAACGTGCAACACTTGAATGAATGAACTTCAAATATACTTTTAGAACAAAAATAGAAAGAAAAAATTTACATTTAAAAAGTACATAAAATCACCTAGAAGTGCGTATAGAAGTGTACATTGACATTTAAAGTTACATTGTATTAGTCAACGAAAATACTGTACTGTTTACTTTCTGAGTGCAAAATATTTTTTGTAACTGCTAGTCGGAGTCGAAAATTAAATTAAATGTGAAAGCCTTTACTTTATGTATAATATCACGCTAAGATTTTCAAGAGCGAAGTTGCCTGCGCATGCGTTTAACTTTTTTATAAATAAAAAAAGCACTAAAGTAGGAGTTCTCAACAAGACAAAACATATGACATAAAGAAGTCTCTATGACCGTCTTCCGATTTCACCATCAGAACAGCGCCAAGATACGATATTATTGTATTGTCACTGAAGATAAATATGTTTCCCAAATTTGGAGCCCAATCGGACATCGGGAAGTGGTTCTAATTTTGCTTACAAGATTCATGCCAAAAACACATACATCGCAAGTTAAATAAAAGCTTGTAAAAACATAACAGTTTTCTAACCGAGCCTGTGCTCCAATTCGAGAAAAACCTTCAATAGATCGTAGTTTAACTCTATAGTACTAATAAAAACATAAATAATTAGCTGCACTGCACGGATGGCGTAGTGGTTTAAGCGGTCGCCTCGCCACACGTATATGATCACTTTGTTGTTTGTCTGTCTGTCAGTCCGTCCGTCTGTCAGTCAAGACTCTATATCTCGAGAACACGTGGAAGTATCGAGTGGAAATTAAAACCATATACTTAAGTCTACAGTCCTTTGAAGCTGTGAAAAAATCAAACTTCTAAGTAATAACAAAAAAAAAGACGCCTATTTCGACACTCTCAAGGGAATCAAACTTTATAGGGTACTTCCCGTTGACCTAGAACTATGAAATTTGGCAAGTAACATCGTCTTATACTACAAGTAGAGGGAACAATCTGAAAACTTTACATTTGTAATTCAATCATAAAAAATAAAGTCTTTATTTAAAGAATTCCATCATCGAATTACAATTTAACTTGTAATATATATAACACTTAATAATTTATGTAATTATATCGTTTCCTGAACTATTTATAATATGTACCTTCAAATTTGTACGGAATCCTCGGTGGCCCAGTCAAACTCGCACTTGTCCGTATTTTTTTCTATAAATATTTGAGTACATTAACTAACATCATAATAGTGCACCTTTATCTTAGCTAGTTAATGTACATTATAATAAAATAAATAGTAATAATGTATTTATTGTTCACAAGTAAATGTTTCTAAACATAATTTCTTAGTTGCTATAATTCAAATAATCACAAATAATGCACTGCTGACATTACAACATATTTAATTTCTTTTACTAAAATTAGAGACACGATATTTTAAGGTTTTGTTTCTTCTCGTTGATAGAATTTTATACAGTAAACAGTTATACAAGAGCTGTTGACATTCATATTTTGCAGCCCAGTGTCGCGGTCAGTAGTGTTCTGTGTTTCAAGCTGTCAAACATGTTTGTGTTATCACCCGTCGTCATTCTGATAAGTGTTCTTTGTTTCATTTTTTATATTATTTATCGACGATGGTATCAATACTGGAGTAAAAGGAACGTTCCTTTTGAACAACCCGTCCCTATATTGGGAAACTTTGCTGAATTTATTTTACTTCAAAAAAATATCGGTACGATCATTCAAAAATTATGTCGAAAATTTCCTAACGCACCTTATTATGGGGCGTTTTACGGCACAGAGCCCACCCTGGTCGTACAAGACCCTGATATCATTAAAGTTGTTTTGACGAAAGACTTTTACTACTTTAGTGGACGAGAAATCTCAAAATACATCCATAAAGAGCTTCTTGTACAGAACTTATTCTTCAATTACGGTGACCAATGGAAAGTTATGCGTCAGAATCTCACACCGTTATTCTCATCAGCGAAGATGAAGAACATGTTCCACTTGATAGAGAAGTGTTCTCGAGTTTTAGAGAGTGTACTTGACCAAGAAACGATGGACTCCCAAGTAATTGAAGTGAGGGCTCTTATGGCAAGGTTTACAATGGATTGTGTCGGTTCTTGTGCGTTTGGCGTTGATGTCAATACACAGGAGCAAAAAGAAGGGAACCCTTTCAATGATATTGAAGAATCTATTTTTGATATCGGTATCGTACGTAGTCTAAAAAATATAATTCGATCTATCTGGCCATCAATATTCTATGGCTTGGGGTTCAAACTTTTCCCAAAGAAACTTGAAACATTCTTTTATAACCTTTTGACTAAAATTTTTGAAGCCCGACAGTATAAACCATCTTCCAGGAACGACTTTGTGGATTTGGTGCTAAAGTTGTGGCAAAAAAAAGAAATATCTGGCGACAGTTTGGAAAATATGATATCTGAAGAGAAAAAAAAAGTTACTCTAGAAATCAATGAGGGTATATTGGCGTCACAGTGTTTTGCATTGTTTGGTGCAGCATACGAGACCTCAGCTACTACATTAGGTTTCACCTTGTACGAACTGGCAAAGAACCCAGAAGCACAAGAAAAAGTGCTTCAGGAAGTTGACTCGTATCTCCACCGCCATAATAATGTGCTAAAATATGAAAGCGTTGCGGAGATGCCTTTTCTTGAAGCATGTGTTGATGAAGCTCTCCGACTGTATCCTGTTCTGTTAGTCTTAACACGTGAAGTAGTAAAAGATTATGTTTTTGAAGACGGACTGCAGCTTGAGAAGGGAATGCGTGTTCACATACCAATTTATCACTTGCATTATAATCCTGACTATTTCCCCGAGCCTGAAAAGTATCGACCGGAAAGATTTTTTGGTGACGAAAAATGCAAAATCCAACCATATACATACTTGCCTTTCGGTGAAGGTCCAAGAATCTGCATTGGTAAGTGTATAAAAGTTATAACTAACACTGCAGAACCTTTATAAAAATACTAGTAAATAAGTCTTGTCAACTATAACAAGTCTGCATTAATCTAGTTTTCAATATTTATTTCATAAAACTAGCGTGTTGCTGATCAAATAATGTCTTCCGATGTTTATTTGAAATATTTCATAGAAAAGTAATGCAGAGATACCATCCCATGATGATAATTGCGCAAAATGTTTTATTTATTAAGGAAAAAGTGAAAAATATAAACTCTTACAATGTATGTAGGTACGTGTGTATATTAAATTTGAGGTCATCACTTTATAAATGGGTATTTCCAGATGTTAAAATAAAAGGATGTACAATCACACACTTGTTATTTGCTTATTTGTTATTTGCTTTAGTATATAAACCACATCTGAATAATGATATTTCACAACACGTACGCAATGTACAGTATTCGTACATCGGTTTTCATAAAAAAGGAGTATCTTTTATTACAAGATTGTGTATTTAAAGGAGTATATTTTAAGTAGCTTTGCTAGAGTTTGCTTCGCAGCAGAGTCACAATATACATATGCTCAATATTTTGTTACCTGGGGTGCGTGCAGCAATAACGGCATAAGTTATATATTATGCAATGTATGAGTGACGTACATCCTTTTAAGATAAAATTGATCGGTACTTATTTTGGTGGTTCTGCGACAGACCACGAAACAATGCAAAGTGAAAAAATAGATTATCGACAAAGAAATTCAAAAAATTCCTAAAAAGCCGGCATCGCGTTTGTGACTCCTGAGTTGCAGGCGTTCATGGGCGGCGATGGTCACTTTCCATCAGGTGACCCGTCTGCTCGTCTGCTTTCTCTAACATAAAAAAGAAAAGTATTGACACTGAATTTTGAAAACAATTTGCACATTTTGATACCACGCAATTACTTACATTATTGTTCTTGAGATAAATTTGATTACTTTGCATGCATATTAATTTAAAGCTGACCCTACTTCTGTTCTTAACAACATCTGCAATTGATCAGGTTATGTTCTGCGATCTGACTACCAAATATTTCAATTCTGGTATTACGTTTACTGACTATCGAAATAAAAATAAAACCATGATTTGACTGCCTCGGCGGTGCAGTAGTAGAATGACCGATGTGCTGAGGTCTCGGGATCGATTCCCGGGTCGGATCAAATGTTTGCACGATCTGCTAATATTTGTTTCGGAGTTTGGGTATTTTTTATGTATAATATGTGTGTATTTACGAAAATAATGTATTTAAGTATTCTATTAGTCAATCTAGCTTTCATAGTACAGTCTTTGCTTAGTTTCAAAAAAGATGCGTTGTGTTTAAGATGTCAGAAAAAAAAAACGAAATATCAATTTCGGTAGTAAATTTGAATACGTTTTTTTTAGGAATGAGATTCGCGAGAATGCAAATGGTAGCCGGTCTGATTACAATACTAAAGAAGTACCGTCTAGAGCTGGCTGAGGGCATGAAGAGTAACGTGGTGCTGAGGATCAGTACAATGGTCGCACAGCCGTATGGAGGCATACGACTCAAGTTCATTAAAAGAGAAGGGTGGGAACAACGAATACTGCAAGCTCCTTCTTCAGTATCTGATAATCGGTCTAGTGTTAGATCCTGATACACATAATGCCGAAGTCGTGGGTTCCAATCCCATTCAAGACCAACAATTGTATAAACGGACACGATTATTTCTTCTGTGTTTGGGTGGAATTTATGTATAATATGCCTGTATTTGGAAATATTAAATTTGAGATTTATCAGGTCTCTGGTTATCATAGCATGTGTGCCGTGTGTAAGGTGTGTCAAGTTATATCTGTTCTCTTCATTTATATATTTTAATAAACAAAAAATTAGGAGAGCACTAACATCGATAATCCAACCATCTAACTTGAGTCTCCAATTCTCTTAAAAGAGACGTTTAAGGTTGGTCGAGGCTCTCCGAATGATCACCGAATCCACATTCCACATTTTGACGATCTCGAATTCAAATATTTTATTTGTTTTACCTCATTAACTTTAATAAGATTCTCGTCATGACGAACTGCGATATCGCCAATCATTTCGCTACGCTCTAATCGACCAATCTCCACAATACTAGGGCCTCAATTCTACTATTTAAATATTGTATCAATAGACTGTCGATGGAATATCGTCGGAATGGTTTTGCACTTTTCCTATTCTACTAACTGTGTAAGACCAATGGACCCCCGATGACTCGGCACTGATACAAATGTCGTCGATGTCTTTGTAAGAGTTTGGTAAACGGTAGATTTTAAATTTGTAGGAAAATGATATATTCAATTTTTCAGGTATGGCAATGTTGTTGATATTTCTTTCTTTATTTCTTTAAAAAGACAACTCCCGCAGTAGGAATACATTCCTGGGTCGCGGGGGACTTTACAAACATATATGAAACGGACACAAAGAACACCCAGACTCAGAACAACAATTTGTGGATCACACAAAGTGTCGTTCCATGTGGGGTTTGAACCCACAACACTCGGCGCAGTAGGAAGCGGCGTGGCGACCGCTTAAACCACTACGCCATCCGTGCAGTCTGTTTATCTTATCTTCCTCTCGCCCAAACAAACTGAGCTACGCATGACAGGGACCATAATTGTTGCCGCTTAAATTGTTATCACCTAATTTAATTTTCTGGTCCGTGCGGAACTCCCCTCGGATTCCATCCGCCGGTGGTTATGTCGAACATGAACCGACCCAAACCAGCATGTCGTCTCGGGTACCAATAGCCGGGGAACCAGATGTACCCTAGGAAAGAAATCCCTGTAACCCCGACGAATTTATATATAGGTGTTTAGATTATGAAAGCAATAAAGTATTAAATATTGTTAACAAAGCGTGTGTGTTTATTTCTGTTCTGCCTACCTCTTGGGATATATAACCGTGAGTTTGGAAGAATATGTATTACACTTTAACAATAATTGCTAGTGTTACAGTCACGGAATACGGTTGACCCGATTTCCCCGGAATGAATGACCCATTTCCATGACATACTGACATTTGCATTCGTTCCAAAACTATTGCGTATTTAGTTTTTCGCTTCACTGAAACTATCGATTTTCACGAAACTTGTAAGTACCAAAATTTACCTTAACTTTCAACTTTTTATATTTTTCAGAATTTTCTATAAGACCTTGCTTTTAACCAAAATTGAGCATTCTAGCATTCTTCTGAGCATTTTGGGTCGAAAACCTGTATGGTACGTTGACCTAGAATCACAAAATTTTGCAAAAGTAAAAAAATGGAAATTAAGATAAATTTTGGTACTTACAAATTTTATCAACATTGATAAGCTTTATTACTATATCGACAGTCTATTGACACTGTGAATTTATGTTAGTAGAATACTGATATTTTGACTGATGTCAATGGCGTCTCAATGGTATCTCAATAGCGTGTCAATGGAATGACAGTGGCTTGGCGTTAACATAAAATAGCAGAATTTAGGCCCAGGCTTATTGGCAACAATAGTCTTATTTGTGAAGAAGAATTGATCCCAATACAACATGGCTTATTCATTTTCGAGAACTAGGTCGGGAAAGTACCTGCCGTACCATGCATACCCTATGGTTCCTATAAATTGAAAGGGTTGTATTTAAGGACAAGCAGTTGATGTGGTGAAGTCAAAACGAGTATAACCAGAAGTAATACGATTGAGCATTCCACCGCCCTGGTGAATCCACCAGGACGGTGGCATGCCTGACATACGTCAACATTACCATCTTTCAGGATATATGACCAATAGTTATTCGTCATAGCAACTTCCTATAATTATAATAGGTGACATAGAATTAAATTAAAATAATTATATATCCCATTCTTGTATTTTTTTTGTAGACCAGGTATTCTTGATAGCTTAAGTTAGAAGTGTAGCAATAACAAGCAAGATTCAGATAACAATAAGTATAGGCTACTACGAGTATAAGGAGCTTTTCGTTTATAAATTTTTGTTTTTTTTTTTAAAGACAACTCCCGCATTAGGAAAATATCCTGTGTCGCGGGGGATGTCTACTCGCAGGCACACACAGGGCGGCATAAGGCGCTGGTAAGCACACTCGGTTCGCCGGCGGCGAATTGAGTCCGAGTGGGGTCATCTTCCCGGGCCCTCTCCACCGTCTCCTTCTGCGACATGACAGCAGCGCAGTGAGGACCCGGCGCTGCGTCGCCCATGCGGGGCAGACCGCCAGCGTGTGCTAGGCCGAGTCCTCACTGCAGTCGCAGTGGTGGCAGGCGGGACTCAGTTCCCTTCTAGCGACCGAGTGCAGGTACTTTCGTCAGCCGGAAGGTAAGGGTCCCGTGCTGCCGCCCTGCCCACTCGGCGATGACCGGCTGGAGAGCCTCCACGGCGGCGAAGCGCGTGGAGTCTCCAGCCGGAACGACCAACGAGCCATCGTGGCTCGGCGAGCGGCTTCGCGCCACTCGCGCACATCCTCGGGCGGAGGGCGAAATCCGCTCTCCGCCTGGGAGTCAGCCACTCGCCGATAAACTTCGGCGAGCACTTCCGCCTCCAAATCCCACGGGGGAGTTCCGGCCAACGCGCACGCCACCTCCGTCGACACGGTGCGGTAACCGCGCATGGCTCTGACCGCCATTAAAATGACAGTTACCCTGTTACAACGTAATATGGTTGCTTCTCCCTACTTTTATTGTCAGTGATTTTTAAGAAAACCAAAAATAACCTTATCATGTTGTAACAAGTGTCAAATCGGGCCTATTAAAGCTCAGGGAATGTAAGCATTTTGTAAGAGTGCGAGTGAGATGGCCAAACATACTTTTGCCAAAAGTGCCCAAGACAACTTTTCTGTCTTTCATTTCTCTTCTACATATTTTCTGTTCATAAAAATATTGTGTAGGTAGTCTTAATGAATAAATTAATTTATATACATTTATGTTTTCTTATTTACCACACCATCATTTCTCTTACACCTTATATACACACGCACTCGAACGTGAAATTAAAATTTAACATAAAGCGATCCTGGAAACCCGCGATCCTAAGAAGCCGCTTCAATAATTTACTAGCCAAAAACTAACATTAGGTAAATATGCATCCCATAATTCGATCTCTTCCTGTAATTGAGGCAGCACAAGAGTTTATTTGCTATAAAACTAACATGTAAGGTGTATTTCTTGTTGGAGATCCAAAAAACTAAATAACAATAAAGTAAAATATTTTTTTGGAAAAAATAAATTAAACAAGTTTTATAGACCTTGGACATCATTTAGCACCAAAGTATTCATCAAAAAATAACAAATAGACATAGTAGTGTTGTGGGTTCGATCCTCACATGGGACAACACTTTGTGTAATGCAAAAATTGTTGTTCTGAGTCTGGGGTGGACTTGGTGTCCATTTCATTAATGTTTGTAAAGTCCTCTACGACACAGGATGTATTCCTAGTGCGGGAGTTGTTAAAATATATACAAAATAAATATAAAATAAAATAAATGTACACTAAAAAAAATCTTCTTTAGATGCGTACTGATGCATGCCATCTATACGCAGACTAGTTTTGGCTATTTGTGACTTTAATCATAGATACAAAAAATCTTCCAGAAAGGTTTTAAGTGGAATGTTTTAGCGCCTAGCGTAAATTTAATAGCAAAAGAAGCAGATCTGAGTAAATTTTCTGAGTAAAGTAGTTTGGGAAAAAGGCTCTATTACATTATTATTATCCTAGTCTAATATCATAACAAAAAGTAGACTTGACTAGAAGGAATAACTTGTGGTGATTAACTTATGTTAAATTATACAATCATATCTGAACTAAATACTTGATATCATTGTTATTCGATACACGAAAGATATGTAGATATATTAATAACACAATCTGTAGCAAAATCTATAGCATAATATCCTTAATCGTACTATAGTTCACGGCTTTTTTCTGTGACTAGGATTATAATCTTAATTATACACCTGCCAAGCATATCTCTGCACCACCCATGATAAATTGACTGTCACTAAGTCCCTCCCTAGTTGCGGGAGATATAACATAATACTGGTTGTGTAAATACTGGGTCCGTGTGGTGACAAGAATACAGAGTGTCACCCCCCCCCCTATTCATCCCGTGGGTGTCGTAAGAGCCGACTAAGGGAGCAAAGTACGCAGGACAACAGCACTGCAGCGAGAAGGAAAACTTGACACAATCCCTATACCAAACCATCTGGCCAGCGTGGTATAGTAGGCCTAAACCTCCTTTTTAAGTAGATGCTTATGTCCAGCAGTGGACTATTAAAGGCTGTTGATGATGATGTTAATGATGTAGATATATTAACAGCACAATCTGTAGCAAAAAACCATAGCTTAATATCCTTAATCATACTGTTGTCCACGTCTTTTTTCCGTAATTAGAATTATAATCTTAATTATACACCTGCCAAGCATATCTCTGCATCACCCATAATCAAATTGACTGGCAGAAAAAGTCCTACTTCTCCACCGCTGATAGAGGAGAATATCCGACCAGAAGAAGGGCCCCAGATTCGTAGTTATTTATTTGAGTATTCCTTCCTTGGTGCTCTAAAGACCGACAGGTACGCCCGCTCTGTGGGACCAAGCCTCGACCCAATGGCCACAGAAATATGGTCTTCTCT